TAGTCTGAATTGCGATGTATTATTAAGTGCAAAATATACAAATATAAAAGATCTAGTACAAAAAACAATGTAAAATGTGTCATTAAGTTTTTATAGTGATTATATGTTGCCAAGGCATTATTTTAGGTTGACAAGGTTAAAAAAAAGTACTGCACAATGAAACACATTTTATATTTTTCAAGAGCTGACACAAACCAGTAAAATGCTGTCACTATATCACTGATCCAAGAGAGCCAGAGGTTTAATGAATAACTTGAAATTCTTAAATATTAGCATTACTATTTGCCTTTAGTGCTTATATTCTTTCTTACCTAGTTAAATCATAGACTTAAGAGATTAGTTCTGGCTAACTACCTCCACCTCCAAATACATACACTGACTATTACTTGAGGATAATGTGTTCTTATAGGTCTTCATGTAGTCTTCTCACGTAGTCTTCATGTTAGGCTATTTAACAATAACATGGAAAAAGAAAATACTACACAAACTGAGAGTTTAAGTAATTAACCCAATCTCAGATACTAAATAGTAAAGGTGGAAACTAAACTCAATCTGTGTGATTTCAAAGCCTCAGCTCTTCATTTACACAATGTATCTCAATGAGAAATAATCTCTATCTCTAGACTCTCACAGAAATCTCCCTGTTACTCTCCACTTTCTACTTTATATTAGAGATTTGCTACTATATTTTAAGTTGCGCTAAGACAAGATCTATGTCTGATTCATCTTTGTTACCCTCAGTATTTGCCTAATAAACACTTGGATATTAAAGACAGCAAGGGTAGTTTGGCTGATCCTTAGAAACAAGACAGTGTCAAGATCTTCTTAGATGTAACATCATCATAAACAATATACACTGAGTTAACAAGTATCACGTTCTTCAGTGACTTCCCAAAAGTGTTAAGATTAATATGGTTAATTGTATTAGCTACTTCTACAGGGATCAAAAAAATGGAATACTTAGTAAATGAACCTAAATCCACTAAGGTATTCACAATCTTAATTTGTAAAACTGGCAGACACTTCCTAATATATCTTATCTGGATGAATCAAAAGGGCTGTTTGTTTTGTGTTTCATGATCACACTTACCATAACAGTCTAGCATCAGCTGTAAGTCCTGCAATTGAGATGCCAATATGGTTGTCAACATGGAGAATTTTTTTCTGATGAGCTGCAAGCTCTGATTGTGCTCTCTAAACAGGGACATCATAAGATATAAAAACAAGTTTATAATTTTATTATCTACAGTGAAACTTACATTTAATAGTTCTGTTTTTTAAAGGAGTCAGATTATTTTATTGGAAGTATCAAATGATACACAATCTTATATTAGTTTCAAGTATACAACACAGTGGTTCAACATTTACCCATGTTATTAAATTCTCACCCCCTACTAGTGCAGCTACTGTCAACATAGGAAAATGTTACAGAATCACTGGCTATATTCTCCATGTTGTACTACCATTCTCATGACTAATATATAATGACTGAGGATTTTTGTGCCCCTTTATCCTCCTCACCCTCCCCTCCCACCTACTCACCCCAAGGCCCCCACCCATGGTAACCACCAGTCACTTCTCAGTGTCTGAGTCAACTGCTGTTTTGTTCATTTTGTTTTGTTTTTATCTTCCACAAATAAGTGAAATCATACGGTATTTGTCTTTCTCTGCCTCCCTTATTTTACTTAGTGGAATACCCTCTAGGTCTATCCATGCAGTCACAAATGGCAGGATTTTTTAAACAGGTGAATAATATTCCACTGCATGTATGTACCACATCTTTATCCATTCACCTACTGATGAACACTTAGATTGCTTCCATATTTTGGCCATTATAAATAATGAAGCAATAAACACAGGGGTACATATATCTTTTTGAATCAGGGATTTTGTTTTCTTTGGGTAAATTCCTATAAGTGGAATTACTGAGTTGAATGGTATTTCTATTTTTCGTTTCTTGAGGAACCTCCATACTGCTTTCCACAGTGGCTGCACCAATCTACATTCCCTTCAACAGTGTAGGAGGGTTCCCATTTCTCCACATCCTCACCAATACTTGTTATTTCTTGTCTTTTGGATAGTGGCCATTCTACCTGGTGAGAGGTGATGTCTCATTGTGGTTCTGATTTACATTTCCCTGATTAGTGAGCAATATGGAACATCTTTTCACCTGCCTGTTGGGCATTTGTACTTCTTCTTTGGAGAGATGTCTGTTCAGGTCCTCTACTCATTTCTTAATTGGGTTATTTGTTTTTCTTGGTGTTAAAGCATATGAATTTATGTGTGCTGGATATTAACCCCTTATCTGATAAATTGTTAAAAAATATATTCTCCAATACTGTAGGTTGCCTTTTTGTTCTGATGATGGTGTCTTTTGCTGTACAGAAGCTTTTTAGTTTGATGTAGTCCCACTTATTAATTTCTGATTCTGTTTCCCTTGCCCAAGGAGATGTGTTCAGGAAAAAATTGCTCATGCTTATGTTTAAGAGATTTTTACCTATGTTTTCTTCTAAGAGTTTTATGGTTTCATGGCTTACATTTTAGGTCTTTAATCCATTTCAAGTTTTCTTTTGTCTATGGAGTTAGTAATCCAGTTTCATTATCTTACATGTAGTTGTCCAGTTTTCCCAACACTAGCTGTTGAAGTCTTTTCCTCACTGTATATTTATGGCTCCTTCATTGTATATTAATTGATCGTATATGCATGGGTTTATATCTGGGCTCTCTATATTCTGTAGTATATATCTTTGTAGTATAGCTTGAAGTCAGGGAGTATAATCCTATCAGCTTTGTTCTTCTTTCTCAGGATTGTTTTGGGTATTTGGTTTTTTTATGGTTCCATATGAATTTTAGGATTATTTTTTCTAGTTCATTGGAAAGCTATTGGTATTCTGATGGGGATTGCACTGAATCTGTAAATTGCTTTGGGCAGGATGGCCCCTTTGACAATATTAATTCTTCCTGTCCATGAGCATGGGATAGATTTCCATTTATTTCCGTTCCACATATTGGTGTCTTCTTTAATTTCCCTCATGAGTGTCTTACAGTTTTCAGAGTACAAGTTTTTCACCTATAAAGTAGGAAGATATATTTATTGCTTTACTTACCTTCAGTGCAACCAACACTGCATGGGTTTTGGATTTAAGACCAACTGTGGCTGAACCTTGTTTGACAGCTTCCATTGCATATTCAATTTGATGAATTCTGCCCTAAAGTGAAAAAAAAAAACAACCCACATCTTACAGAGTCATTTTACAAGATCCTTTTATATATTTAAAATTAATTTAGAGCTCTCAAATCTCAGGTGAGCATAGTTAAAGCTCAAATTACTTTTTTTTTAAACTAGGAAACTTACTCTAATGATAAATCTAGGTTCCAAGTGTCTGAAGTGGTTACATTCCATTTTCTCACAGCTTACAATTTCATGAATTTCTAAACATATTAAACATAAACAAAAGCTACTTCATAGAAATAGTATGAAACACTATTTTACCTGAGGGCTCCAAACAGTGACATCATTGTCATACTGGTTGCGAAACTGAAAGTAAAAGAAAAAAGACCTATTAATACAAAATTTCCAACTCCTAACAAGTTCTATCCTGAAAAAATGTTCTCCTGTTTCCATTCCACATTAACACAGTGCTATTCTTATAGCCTCATTAGAAAATTACTTCTGTATTTACATGTAAGCCAGTTTTACATTTAGTAGAAGCTAGAAGCTCACAGATCTAGATGGACCTAGCTTCCCAATTTCCAATTCTACCACTGTCCACGGCACTCCCTTTGGGTTCATGTGTCAACTCTCCTTTGTGTCTTTGCTTACACTCTTGCCTTGTATCCAGCCATAATAAATGGTTAAAAGCATTCCTTTTCTTTAAACTAGCTCAAACGTCTATCTCTTGAAGCCTTTCCTGTCTCTTCTCCCAGAGTCCCCAACAACAGGTCTTTATATGCACACCCCTTTCTATCTCATATGACGATGAGGGACTTGGCTGATTTACCTTTGAACCCTCTCTGCACTCAACAGTGCCTTGTAGGTATAAACCTTAGTACTGAATGAATAAACCTAATAATGTCTTTAGGAAGTTAGAGGTGGTCACAAATAGGTAGTCAGAACAATTACTGACTGCTTTTAATGACTATTCTAATAAGTCTATTAGCACAGTACGTGGGAAAATAATCTCGGCGGAGACGGGTTGGTGAGAAGATTGAGTGCTGGAATGGCAGAGGACTCGAAGCCCAGAGCCCTATGTTGTCACCCTGATAACAGCACTTTTCTTGGCCTCAGTTTACTCATCTGTAAACTTAGGTGACTGGACAAAGTGTCTGAAAAGAGCCTTTTTTGACCAAGCGCTAGGGGAGAGATAAACCGGACGGTCCCACCAGGAAAATGGACGCAGTCCAGGGACCCCAGCCCTGGGGTAAAGTCCGCACAGGCAGTACAGGGAGGCCTCCAAGTCCAGTCCCTATTTTTCTTTCTCCCTCCCACACACTGCACGAGGGTCCACTCTGGACCACCCGGGATCTACTCCACCGAAAGAACCTGAGGAGCGAAAGAAGCCGGGGAAAGGCCACAGCGACTACCGACCGCCGCTCTCCGGCCAGGCCGGAGATGCTGAATCACTGCCGGAACCCTCCCTCCGGCCGAGGCTCCCGTGCCCTGTGGCCCTGGGCCGCCCTGAGGATGACAGAAGAAGCGGCCCGCCGTCTCCCAGTCAGCGAACCTCCGCCCAACCCTGCCAGCGCTTGGAGTCCAACGCACCATGGTTCCGGCGCGGGTCTGGCAGGCGGCCTCCTGCAAAGCTGCGGGTCGCGGAGCACGGCCGAAACTACCACTCGGGGATCTACAGAAAAGGCTGCGGGGTTTTGACGGCGGCGGCGCAGGGCAGGGCAGTCTATTCCAGAAACATCGATAGGCTTCCAACGCTTCCCCGCCCTCAAAGCGCCAGCGCGCTCGGGGGCGGGCGGGGCCTCAGAAGAAGCTGGACCTGAGATTGGCGGGAAACCTTGTTCTCGGGATTCCGGCGGCAGCTAAGAGCTGCAGGGCTGCCACTACCGAACAAGTCACCCTTCTTGGGACCTCAGGGATAGAACCTGTGTATTGCACATTCCCGCCATCTTCTCGCCCGCCAGGCAGATGCATCTGAAACTGCTCTGTAGTACAGCTGCGATGATGAGGGTTGCGCTCAACCTCTCATTCCGAGTCCACAGAGATTTGGGGTTTTGTGTGACTGTGAGAAGAACGAGGATGTAAGAAAGGCCGCAAAATAATGGTCCGTCTCTGTGTGTCAAACATACTCTTTCTTGAATATCTTGTTTGTGTACATGTTTCTTTTTCTGCTTTGGAATCCTTTTCCTCCTTCCCTGGAGAACTCGTCTTTCAAGGTTCTGTTGTCATCCATCACTGTCTATTATCATTTTTGGTTTTCCCCCACCGGACTTTTGAACTCCTTGAGGGCACTAATGTCTTTCTGTGACCTCAAAACCAATATGAAGATAAGATGTTTTACTTACCCAAGTCTCTATTGTTTAATATTTAAGTATTTCCCCCCTCCCCAACCCTAGCAACTCATGAATTTCCTTAGAATAAATTCCTGAAAGTGATATTGCAGGGCCAAATGAAATGGATATTATGAAGCGTTTGATGAAAAATGCTAATTTATCCTCCAGAAATGTTTTACCAGTTATCTCAACAGTAGTGTATGAGGGCGCTCTCTTCTTAAATTCATCAGTACTAGCTGTGGTCATCTTTAAAAACACTGTTAATTTGGTGAATTCAATTAAAAGATTGTTTTCTTTTGTTTCTCAAGCACCTAGCAAATGCTAAATGTTTAATAGAATTGTCAAAGAAATGAATGAAGAATATTAAATGATTAAAAGAACTGCTCATTTAAAAATTGATATATAGTACATAAACATTTTGACAGTTGTGAAGATGGTCAAAAGATAAAAACTTTCAGTTGTAAGAAAGAGTACTACAGGTGTAGTGTACAGCATGAGGACTATAGCTACCACTGCTGTATGATATATAGGAAAGTTGTTAAGAGTAATCCTCAGAGTTCTCATCACAAGGAAAAAACTTTCTTTTTTACTTCTTTCTTTTTCTTGTATCATATGAGAAGATAGATGTTAGCTGAACTTACTGTAATAATCATTTCACAATATATGTAAATCAAACCATCATTCTGTATGCCTTAAATTTATGCAGTGATGTATGTCAATTATTTCTTAAAAAAATTAGGGGAAGATTTTTTAAAATAAGCTAAAATTGGTAAAAAAAAAAAGTTAATGCACAGATTAAGTATGTAATACAACCAGAAATGCTTTTTAATAAAAATAAAAATTGTTGTATAGTACATAACATTTTGACAATTTTCTACATATCTCTATATATTCACATGCCTCATAAATATGTACAATAAATATATAATTCTTTTTACAAATAAGACCATACTGGCCTTTAACTACCTTGACAAATAAGGTCAAACTGAACTGTTTTACACTATACTTAAAAAGTTACGACCATCTTTTCATGTCCATAAATAATGATCTATAAGTTTTCAATAGTTGCATTATATTCCTTTGTGTGGAAATACAATAATTTACTTAACTATGGGTAAGAAATTAGATTATTTTCAAGTTCTTGCTATTATAAAAACACTAATGATTATTCTTATACATGGACCTATTTTGTGTACTTTCCTGATTATCTCCTTGTAATGGATTCATAGTAATAGAATTGTGGGGTCAAAGGGAACCTCCATTTACGATTATGATAAATATGGCTAAATTGCAAAACAAACATCAATTGTATCAGTTATATCAATTTGTATTCTACAGTTCCTGAGAGTCTACTTTCTTCATACCCATACCAGCACTGGACAGGGTAAGTACTTTTTCTTTTTTTTCATTAAGGTATCATTGATATACACTCTTATGAAGGTTTCACATGAAAAACATTGTGGTTACTACATTCACCCATATTATTAAGTCCCCCTGATATCCCATTGAAATCACTGTCCATCAGTGTAGTAAGATGCCACAGAGTCACTACTTGTCTTCTCTGTGCTACAGTGTCTTCTCTGTGACCCCTCCCAAACCATGTGTACCAATCATAGTACCTCTCAATCCCCTTCTCCCTCTGTCCCCACCATTTCTCCAACACTCCTCCCCTTTGGTAGCCACTAGTCGCTTCTTCGAGTCTGTGGGTCTGCTGCTGTTTTGTTCCTTCAGTTTTGCTTTGTTATTATGCTCTACAAATGAGGGAGATCATTTGGTACTTGTCTTTCTCTGCCTGGCTTATTTCACTGAGCATAATATCCTCTAGCTCCATCCATGTTGTCGCAAATGGTAGGATTTGTTTTCTTCTCTGAATATTATTCCATTGTGTTTATGTACCACATCTCAGGGTAAGTACTTTTTACCTTTATCAAGCTATAAGCAGAAAAAGAAGAAATGTCTTGCTTTACTTTTATTTGCCTTTTTTGCCTACTAGTAAAAAAATATTTTCATATTTTTGTTACTTTAGTGAATTGCCACTTCATTCCTATTCTCAGTTCATTGTTGTGTCATTTTCTTATTAACTTGTAGGGGCTCCTTCCCATTAAGGATGTTAGCCTCTTATTACTGTGTTACTTGCATAGAAGGAGATTATAGGATACAAATAAAGAAACCTAATGGAGATAGCTCAAGTAGAAGGTGGGGAAGAAGCATGAGGATATTGTAAATATGTAACAGGAAATAGCGTAAGCATCCAGGGATAGGAATTTTTTACTTTTTTATTTACTGAAGAATTCCTACTGCCTGAAAGAAGCCCTGGCATTGTAGTAGGCATTCACCAAACATTTGTTGAATGAGTGAATGAAAGACTGATGGATCTCTTGTTCCAAAACTTGTCCTTTTGATTGTTATATCCTAAGAAAATATCTGGGACTTGGTGTTATATCTTCATTCAGTGATTTGCTAGACTCTTCAGAGAGGCTCTTATCCAAGCACCACTTGTAAGCCATTAGAAGGGGTATTTGGTTGGCCTTTTTGTCAAAACTGAAAGTTCTAAGCACTTACTAGCTTTTATATGACTTTCAGCTCCCTTATGCATGTCTTGTGCATTTGGCTGAGGATATATGTTGGTCCCAGGAGCTGAAAAATTGATGAAAAAAGATATTTTGTAGGAAGAGTGGGTTAACAAATGTACCATTACATTTTTTTTTGGTATGATTAATGTACAAATACATGAGCAATATTATGGTTACTAGACTCCCCACATTATCAAGTCCCCACCACATACCCCATTACAGTCACTGTCCATCAGCGTAGTAAGATGCTATAGTATCATTACATGTCTTCTCTGTGTTGTACTGCCTTCCCCACCCCACTACATTATGTGTGCTAATCGTAATGTCCCTTTTTCCCCCTTACCCCTCCCTTCCCACCCATCCTCCCCAGTCCCATTCCATTTGGTAACTGTTAGTCCATTCTTGGGTTCTGTGAGTCGGCTGCTGTTTTGTTCCTTCAGTTTTTTCTTTGTTCTTGTACTCCACAGATCAGTGAAATCATTTGGTACTTGTCTTTCTTGGCCTGGCTAATTTCACTGAGCATAATTCCCTCTAGCTGTGTCCATGTTGTTGCAGATGGTAGGATGTGTCTCTTCTTATGGCTGAATAAAATTCCATTGTGTATATGTACTACATCTTCTTTATCCATTTATCTACTGATGGACTCTTAGGTTGCTTCCATTTCTTGGCTATTGTAAATAGTGCTGCGATAAACATAGGGGTGCATCTGTCTTTTTCAAACTGGAGTGCTGCATCCTTAGGGTAAATTCCTAGGAGTGGAATTCCTGGGTCAAATGATATTTCTATTTTGAGTTTTTTGAGGTACCTCCATACTGCTTTCCACAATAGTTGAACTAATTTACATGCCCACCAGCAGTGTAGGAGAGTTCCCCTTTCTCCACAACCTCACCAACATTTGTTGTTTTTTGTCTTTTGGATGGTGGCCATCCTAACTAGTGTGAGGTGGTATCTCATTGTGGTTTTAATTTGCATTTCTCTGATGATTAGCAATGTGGAGCAACTTTTCATGTGCCTGTTGGCCATCTGAATTTCTTCTTTGAACAGTGTCTGTTCAGCTCCTCTGCCCATTTTTAATTGGATTATTTGCTTTTTGTTTGTTGAGGTACTTGAGCTCTTTATATATTTTGGATGTCAAACCTTTATCGGATATGTCATTTATGAATATATTCCCCCATACTGTAGAATGCCTTTTTGTTCTATTGATGGTGTCCTTTGCTGTACAGAAGCTTTTCAGCTTGATATAGTCCCACTTGTTCATTTTTGCTTTTGTTTCCCTTGCCCGGGGAGATATGTTCATGAAGAAGTCGCTCATGTTTATGTCCAAGAGATTTTTGCCTATGTTTTTTCCTAAGAGTTTTATGGTTTCATGACTTACATTCAAGTCTTTGATCCATTTTGAGTTTACTTTTTTGTATGGGGTTAGATAATGATCCAGTTTCATTCTCTTACATGTAGCTGTCCAGTTTTGCCAAAACCAGCTGTTGAAGAGGCTGTCATTTACCCATTTATATACATGACTCCTTTATTGTATATTAATTGACCATATACATTTGGGTTAATATCTGGACTCTCTATTCTGTTCCACTCATCTATGGGTTTATTCTTGTGCCAGTTCCAAATTGTTACTGTGGCTTTGTAATAGAACTTGAAGTTGGGAAGCAAGATCCCCCCTGCTTTATTCTTCCTTCTCAGGATTGTTTTGGCTATATGGAGAATTTTAGAACTATTTGTTCCAGTTCGTTGAAGAATGCTGTTGTTATTTTGATAGGGATTGCATTGAATCTGTAAATTGCTTTAGATAGGATGGCTATTTTGACAATATTAATTCTTGCTACCCAAGAGCATGGGATTAAGAGTGTCTTGTAGTTTTCAGGGTATAGGTCTTTCACTTCCTTGGTTAGGTTTATTCCTAGGTATTTTATTCTTTTTGATGCAGTTGTGAATGGAATTGTTTTCCTGATTTCATTTTCCGCTAGTTCATCTGAAGTATATAGGAATGCAACAGATTTCTGTGTATTAATTTTGTATCCTGCAACTTTGCTGAATTCAGATATTAGTCCTAATAGTTTTGGAGTGAATTCTTTAGGGTTTTTTATGTACAATATCATGTCATCTGCAATTAGTGACAATTTGTATTCTTCCTTGCCAATCTGGATGCTTTTTATTTCTTTGTTTTGTCTGATTGCCATGGCTAGGACCTCCAGTACTATGTTGAATAAAAGTGGGGAGAGTGGGCATCCTTGTCTTGTTCCTGATCTTAGGGAAAAGCTTTCAGCTTCTCGCTGTTAACTATGATGTTGGCTGTGGTTTTGTCATATATGACCTTTATTATGTTGAGGTACTTGCCCTCTATACCCATTTTGTTGAGAGTTTTTATTATCAATGGATGTTGAATTTTGTCGAATGCTTTTTCAGCATCTATTGAGATGATCATGTGTTTTTTGTCCTTCTTTTTGTTGATGTGGTGGATGTTGTTGATGATATTTGAATGTTGTACCATCCTTGCATCCCTGTGATGAATCCCACTTGATCACGGTGTATGATCCTCTTGATGTGTTTTTGAATTCAATTTGCTAATATTTTGTGGAGTATTTTTGCATCTATGTTCATCAGGGATATTGGTTTGTAATTTTCTTTTTTTATGGTATCTTTGCCTGTTTTTTGGTATTAGAGTGATGCTGGCTCATTACTTTTTAAATTTAAAGGTCAGCAATAAGTTATGTCAGGCTCTTTTAAAATCAAATAAAACTAAATTCTAAATAAAATCCAAGTTGAAAATTTTTCCCCATGGACATGTAAATCTCACTGTGTTATTCTATTTATCAATTGTAACTGGTACCTTGAATAAATGAGATGTGTAGGGTGCAATTTGCAAATAACTTTATTTATCTCCATATGTTAAAACACACTCTGGAATTAATTCTTCTCTGATCCTTGAATGGAACATGGCACAAATATCATGACTCTTCTATTCAAGTAAAAATGTTAATTACCCAACTCAACAGCCACTCATCAGTAATTAATTTGTCCAGTATAATAATGAAAATTCAGGAGTGAGGCTTCTTCCCTTCCTGAGCTTGAGCCTGCCATGGCAAAAGGACAGTTCCTCATTATGTCCCTGCCCCAAATTTACCTGCCTAAAATTTCTCTCCTAGTCCTCCACCATCACCATCAAGATGCCTTACTCCCCAAGTTTTAACAGGAATGGGCAAGAGAGTTCTTAAATTGACTAGTATAGTTCTGTGATTAAGGTTGGATGCTCTTTGAGCTTAGCAGGTATTTACACTCAACACTTGTTATTGTATGTATTGTTTGAAGATATCTCCATCCTGACCTTATCCCAATGAACTAATACTGCAGCTTCTCACTTGCCTTTTAGGTAAATATATGTCACCTGACCCTCAGCTCAGTGTCAGTTGTTAGCTTCTGTGGTATATACCTCCAGCCTCTTTCTGAAGAGTCTCCTCATACTTCTACTTGACCCTCTATAGTAGCCCATATCTGATCCAAAGAGATACCCATAGGATGGCTTTGCCTCATACCTTTGGGAGTATGGACTTTGACCAAACTTAAAACTCATCTTTGCAGTTAGCCAGTCAAAATTTTCTGTCTAGATTCCATGAGAATATTAGCTCCATGAGCTAATTCCTCTATTTTGTTCAATACTATAATCACCTGTGCTTAGAATAGTCCCTTTACGTAAAAAGTGCTATATGAAAATGAAATGAATGAACTTCTCACGTACATGAGCCAGATAAAAATCCATTGAGACCCTCAGAACTCCCAGCTCTAGAAGCCATGTGTCAGAGTT